TCACGCTGTCCTTTTTCGTTGTCAAAACTTTATCGCACAAATGGCGCAAAATTCAAATCTTACGTGAATTTAATACAATGAAAGTGAATGTATTAATACGAGTTATTTTATGTTTGATATTATTGAATGTTGATATTATGAACAAATTTAAAACATATATCGTGAACGAATTGTGTGTTAACATTTTAAACTGTTTATGTAAGACTCAAAACCCTTGATAACTTTTATACAAAGAACACCCCTCAGCTGGTTTTATAGGTTATAATAATAACAGTTAACGTTCCTTCCATGGAATAATGAGTGAAAGCAGAAGTATTGATAATTTAGTAGATATTCATAACAATAACGATTGAATTTTCACCATAGTAGTTCAAACAAGCAATAAATTCTATATGGCTAAATGTTCTGTAATAGCCTTTAACAAGTTCATTTAAAAAGAGTTTATTTTAAAAAGGCTTTATAATATAGGCTTACAAAATACCATTTTCGTACAATTATTTAAAATTATAAAAGAAAATCACATAAGGGACTTCTAATAGTAATAAAATTTGCTGTTGTTGCGAATATAGCTGAGCTTAAAGCTCTATGCGATAATATGCATTAGTTCCTCAAGCACTTTATAAATCAAACTTCTTACGTTTTCATGGTTTTGTGCATGAGTTGTCTTAAGTTCCTCGTAGCTAAACATGTAGTTTGCTATACATTATGCAAATGGAACACTTCCTAAATCTTACCAAGTTTTGCAACTTAATAGCAGTAAGCTCTAACGAAGCTGTATACAGCTCGATTAAATATTGACACTCAAGCAAATGCCTCATAATGCAGTGTATATCTTGAAAATTTGTAGAACACATTATTAGATAATATACAGCTCCCAAAATTAGTTCTTTAAGTTTACATTTGCACGTTATCTATTTGTGTAAATATTACCACAACACATACAATAGAGGAACACAGGAACACCATATAAAGAAGGAAAATTAAGCACTGTAATTAATTTTCAATAATATAATTTTTATCAAAGTAAAAGTTAGAACGCGGTGAATACACCAAAACCAGGCCAATGTCGCCGAACTATGTCAACATTTTAAAATACAAATTCATAATTTGATTAATGTCATATTATAAATTAGTTTCCTCTAATTTAATATGGACATATTGGGTGCAGAATTAAAGATATTTTATATCCTACAAATGAAACTTGTTTATTGTAACTCAACTGAAATAGAATGGTAATGTCTCTACATTATTAGAATCTTTTCTGTTTTAACCAATTACACTGTAAAAATAATTCACTCAATTTTACTCAATCTGTCAATTTCTGTCCACACCCAATTGAGTGAAATATTCACTCTATTAGTATGAGTACAATTAAAATTTTATGAGTGAAACTATTGCAACAGAAGTGAGTGAATTTTACTCAAATCCGAGTTTCTGCTAACTATCAAATGAGTACCTTTTCACTGTAGTCTGAGTATGTAAAACTAATTAAGAGTTGACTTTTTCTCTAAATTTAACTATTGTTGAGTAATTTTTTACTCAGACTTCATTATATATTCATATTTTCTTTAAATTATAATTTAAATATTATTGTATTAAAGTCATAATTGGTTAATTGATCTGACGAATAGATTACCTTAACCTATACTGTACGTTATAGATACGTATAGGTAACATTCTAACTAATCTAAATTATTGTAATCAAACCACTGCATTTAAACACAACTGTCACCAAAATAACCGGATGATCTAATGGGAACTATGGGAATAAACAAAGACAATGCACGACAACCATAGAATGGGGTGAGGTCACTCAATAATGAGGATATTTACTCCGATTTAGGTACAAGTGTACCAAGTTCGAGTTTATCTGGAGGTCTGGTTTATCTGGAGCCTGGTTTATTTATAAAATACTCAATATTTTCTCAATGGATTCACTCCATACCTTTATTGCTTTCACTCACACCGATTTTTTTACAGTGTATAAATAATACATTTAGTATTTTCTGTAGGTCTAAATTTCACTAGTCAAAAGTTGTGGAATTTAAATGAATGTATTGTGGATTTAAAAAGCATTTGATTTGTCGCAGCATTTAATTTTTTTTATAATTTTCAAACGCAACCATCACAAATTATGAGACTAAGTTTCATTCTACTTCAAACGTCTTTAGAGATATTTTAGAAAAAGCGATTTTTTTTTTTAAATATCAACACCATGTATAACGAAAATTATCGACGTTTGTATAATCTTTTTGGTTTGAAATCACTCAAAGAATCACCCCTTAAAGTTTGTGCACATTCTTAATTAACACCTTGTATAATATATTGTTTAACTTACTAGCAGCAACTGAATTATTTCCCTTACAATTAATGAACTGATTTAGGGGAAATAGTGATCTAACTCACTAAAAGGAAATAGGTCATTTGTTTAGTGTAGGTACTTGGGATTGATGAGTTGCCTCGCATGAGACAACAAAAAATTTCTAAGAATACTTTCTGCTTTCTGCTAAATCTCTCTCTCTTGCAAATGCCAATGTTATTGCTTCCAGTTTGAAACACTATATTCTGTGGAGTTTGAAAATATTTTTATTTTATTTTTTTGTTTTACAGAAAAGTTATTGTTAAAAAAGCTGTTTGCTTTCAAATAAGTACACAAAAATGTAGTTTTAGTAAATTAGCATCTACAATACCTTACTCTAACATGTTTTGATTTGATAATAATTGAGCTATAATATCAAAACTGACAACTACTCAATTTGGTACATGGAGAACTTTAATATAACTGTTTGCTTTATCTATATAAAACGCAGAAGCTTAAAATTATGAAATTAAGCTGATTGTTCTTAAAATTGGTACATGGCAATGCTTTTAATTGTAAATAATTTTTCCTATTAATTTTTTAAATATTTTATACGAAAAAAGCCTTGACCTACATGAAGCTTTTTTACATCTGAATAGACCTACTAAAATTTTAGTAATAAAAACGTCAAATTACTGTCCAATTAAGCAGGGTCGTTACCCAAAATTTTAAATTCGACCAATTTTTTATTGTTGACACCTACGATTAATAAAAATATATGATTTATTTTGTTCTAAAGATAAAATGAAATGTCACGTCTCTAATCATTGTTTAATAGGGAACATCCTGTATGTGCAGCTTCATCTAAAACTACACTGTTGTACGTACATTTCAATGTAAGAAGGATTTTTTTAATAAAAGTGTTTTTTCCATTAAATGAAAAATAAAAGACTCCATCCATAGATATTGTATACCAGGTGTCTCAGTTGCATTGTTCCAATGGCATATCTCCATTATTTAAAAATACATAAATTTGAAATTTGGGGCATCTGCTATACACCTAAACTTCTTTAAATTGAGCTTAATATTAAAATTCTTTCACTTCCTGTTTAACCGGAAACTTCTTTATTTTAAGTGACACTGAATATTTTTCTTAAAATTTAAATTCTACAAAAAAATTCCCTTTTGTGTGAAGTATTATACTTTGTGTTTTGACTTAAAATGTTTCCAAAATCGGGATTATAGAAAATTATGAAAAGCATGTAGATTATTTTGGATTTAAATTTCAAAGTAGCAAAGGTACCTACATGAGGAAGCAGAATGCGATATCTCTCCATCTTCTATTCAACGAATCCTAAAATCCGGCAGATTCAGACGTTTCAAAATCTACTTGCGTTAAAGATTAGAACCAGGAAATTATGACAGACGACTGGAGTCTCTTGTATGATTAGCAACTGCTCGTGAATATGGCATTATTAACTCAATATTATGGTCAGATGAAAGCCGTTTTCATAATAATAAAACTATCAATCGACACAATTGCCTTTATTGGTCTGTAGTTAATCCTCATTGGATGAGAGTGACCAATCAAAGAATTTGCGGAATTAACATATGGTGCGGCATGGGCGATGGGTAGTGGGTACGTTGTCGCACCAAAGTTTTATGAAGGAACATTAACCGATTAGGCAAATTTAGAATTTCTTCAGAGCAAATTTTCAGGTTTTCTTGAATATGTTTCACCAAAATATGTGCCAACATATACTTTCAGCATGGTGGGGCACCCATGGATCGGCATATATGGACCAATAAAATGGCCTGCAAGAGGACCCGATCTAACGCGGTTAAATTATTTTCTATGGTGATATTGAAGGATAGGGTATATCAGACGTTTCCTGCAGATTTGGAAGATTTAAAAAATATAATTCGAAATGAGTGTGGAGCCCTTTATGCCGAATTATTAAAAACTGTTATCTCGTGAACTTTTGGACAACATTTTGAACATTTTCTTAAGCATCTTTTCTGTCTTTGGTGTCCAGTGTCATAAAACGGTTCTTGTATAAATAAAATTAATTGGTATAATATCTTTTTGTAATTCATTTAACATTATGTTTCTATTATTTCACTTTCAATAAAATATTTGTAAATCATTTTTTACAGAGATCATGAAAATACAAATATTGGAAAGTGTATAATTGCTGCTTTGATATTTAAATCCAAAATAATGCACATGTTTTTCATAATTTTCTATAATCCCAATTTTGGGGGGAATTGCAATTTCATTTATGTTTTGAGGTCTACATAGGTACAAAGTGTAATACATCATCAAAAGGGGAATTTTTTGTAGAATTCAAATTTTAAGAAACATGTAGGGTATTTTAAAATAAAAGAGTTACGGTCGTTTCTGGTTAAACCGGAAGTGAAAGAATTTTAATATTAGGTTCAATTTCAAGAAGTTTAGGTGTATATCAGATGCCTCAAATTTATGGTTTTTTAAGTAATGGAAATATGCCAATGGAACAATACAACTGTGACACCTGGTATATCTAAAGTCACTACCACTTTGTATTATTTAGTTGCAACATAATATCAAATAATTAAGTTACTTGCTGAGTTATTTGTTTCATATAACATTAATCTGTAATATTTAAAAATATTTAGGTCACAATAGAAAGGCACTAATTAATATACATTGTTATGTAAGGTAAGTGCAATTTATCAAGATCCATCTTTGGAGGCTAATATGAAACTGGTGGTAACTCGTTTACTGATGTACGAGCATACAAAACATGGCGTCGTAAGGCCTGGTAACGCTAAGAAATCTCTGGAGAACGTGAATGCTTGGAATAGGCGCTTACACAGCTCGTTAGGTGCCGGAGAATTACCCCATGACTTGGCGGTGTGGCTGACCAGATCAGACATTGGGGGACCGTCTGGTTATGCTCCAGTTGCAGGGGTGTGTGATCCCAAAAGAAGTTGTGCCCTTAATAGGGACGAAGGTCTCACTAGTGCTTTTATAATAGCACATGAGACGGCACACATGTAAGTACGGTAGAGCGAAAAAGGCGTGTAATATAGAATGTATCAGTAAAGGTGCAGTATTCTGGAGCTATCTTTATTTAAAACGTCCCAAGTAAAATTTTATTATTTTTGGGACAAAAGCTCTGTTCCATGATATTTTGTTCTAATAGATTAAAACCTGAAGTTGTATACAGGGTGATTCATTAACAATGTGAAAATCGAAAGCTGAAGATACTACACGTGAAATGGTGACCATTGGCGCAAACATGCCTTATCCGAAAGTTCATAGTTTGGGAAATACAGGGTGTTGAAAGTTAAAATTTTAAATTGTTTTTTTGCGATTATTATGAAAATATGTAGGTTAGGAACTTGAAAATTTGTGAAACTATATTTTTTTAGGCGACGAATAAGATGCGTGTTGTAATTTCAGCATTGCTAATAGAGGGCGCCACTTACGATCAATTTTACCGAAAATTTAGTTAATAACATTTTACCCTGTATATTTAACATGAAACTTGATTCAAAACCTGAAAGAGCTATCATTTTTCCATTAATTATGTACTCTTGTTTCATTTCGGTATCTCGATCCGTTTTCGAGAAAAATCGATTTAACGAACACTATGTTTTGATAATATGAGAAATTAAAAGCGAAACAAACCAAGTGTTTCTTCGTGTTATTACAACAATTAACAATAAAACAAATAAAATACGTAATTATGATTTAAAGTAATTGTTCGAAGAATCCACCGTTGACACTGATACACTTTACACGTTTTCTGAGAGATCTTCGAGTTTGAAACAACATATTGGGATTGCGTCTGACTTCGTTGGCAGCGATTTGTATTCTTTGCCACAACTCTTCACACGAGCCAATAGATTCTTTGTAAACTATATCTTTCATTCGAGACCAAATAGAAAAATCAAGAGGATTGAAGTCCGGACTTCTGGATGGCCAAGCAAAAATGCTTACATGGCCAATCCAGCGATTTGGAAAAACTGCATCTAAATATGCACGCACTGGCCAAGAAAAATGCGGTGGAGCTCCGTCGTGCATGAACCACATGTCTCTTCTTAAATAAAGTGGAACTTCTTCAAGCCGTGGAAGCATTTTTACTTGGCCACCCAGAAGTCCGGACTTCAATCCTCTTCATTTTTCTATTTGGAAGAATCTATTGGTTCGTGTGAAGAGTTGTGGCAAAGAATACAAATCGCTGCCAACGAAGTCAAACGCAATCCCAATATGTTGTTTCAAACTCGAAGATCTCTCAGAAAACGTTGTGTAAAGTGTGTAAATGTCAACGGTGGATTCTTCGAACACTGACTTTAAATCATTATTACGAATTTCATTTGTTTTATTGTTAATTGTTGTAATAACACGAAGAAACACTTGGTTTGTTTCGCTTTTAATTTCTCGTATTATCAAAACATAGTGTTCGTTAAATCGATTTTTCTCGAAAACGGATCGAGATACCGAAATGAAACAAGAATACACAATTAATGGAAAAATGATTGCTCTTTCAGGTTTTGAATCAAGTTTCATGTTAGACATACAGGGTAAAAAGTTATTAACTAAATTTTCGGTAAAATTGGTCGTAAGTGGCGCCCTCTATGAGCAATGCTGAAATTACAACACGCATCTTATTCGTCGCCTAAAAAAATATAGTTTCACAAATTTTCAAGTTCCTAACCTACATATTTTCAGAATAATCGCAAAAAAACGATTTAAAATTTTAACTTTCAACTCTCTGTATTTCCGAAACTATCAAATTTCGGATAAGGCATGTTTGCGCCAATGGTCACCATTTCACGTGTAGTATCTTCAGCTTTCGATTTTCCCATTGTTAATGAATCACCCTGTATAAACAGATCATGCTTATCAAATTCGTTTCAATTGTATTTTTTTTTGTAGACGAGATTGAACTAGTTAATTTGAACTTATACGACAGCGGAACTCATTGACACAAATAAGAAAAATCTCAGTACTTAGGTACAATTCAGTACAAAATTTACCTATTTATACAGAGTGCAGCAAGAACTACTTTGAGGTTAAGTGTGGCTTACAAACAAAATGAAATGCAATAAACGTCAACTTGAAAAATAAAAGTTTACTCATTTTTTTTTTACGTATGTATGTCTTAAATTTGAGCCATTTGGATTAAAGCGAAAGTACATTTCTGCAACAGTTTCCAAATTTTCTGTTTAAAAAAAGAAATGACAATTGGCCTGGACCCCCTCGATCGTCTGTACCTCTCATCATCTTAAAGATACAATTGTCACTGACTACTTGACTAGTCTCGACCTAAAAACTAATTAAACACAAAAACACATACAACGGCAGTGGGGAGCATTGATGACTACAGTATACTTAAAATTATATTATATTTGAAACAATAACATTCCTACAAATTTTTTTGTGAAACTAATAATTTGAGAGATACGAGGCCTGTTCAGAAAATAACCGAACTATATTTTTTAAACTTTATTATTAATTTTATACGTTATTGGTCCTTATCTCCTTCAAAGTACTCCTCTCCTTTACTCACACACTTTTCCATTTTGCGAAGCAGTTATGGAAAGCTTCATTTGTGTCGTTCTTTCAACATTGATTTTAATTTCGGAAATAAAAAAAATCGACAAAGCTGAGTGTGCGGGCGCATTGTCATGGTACAAAAACCATGAGTTGTCTCCCCACAACCGTTTTTTTGTAGATCTTTTCATGTAGCCGTTGTAAAACGCCTTGATAGTTTACACGGATCACTGTTTCACCTTGAGCCAAGAATTTACATTGCAAAAATCGACACTAACACGTTGCAAACAAATAACAATATCACGAAAACTAAATGAGATATCAGCAATCCAAGAACAGGTGTTACATAGGAGATTATGCTCAATGCAATGCTGCCAACCGCATATCACTAAATATCTCCATTAGCCCGTAATTCAAAAAGTTCCGTTATTTTCTGAACAGGCCTCGTATTATAAGATATCAAATATTAGAAATTTTATTTGGGAATTTAATTAATTATGTCATAATTCAGATTTCATCAATCTAGTCAATGTAATATTTTTCTATTTCAAGGCACTGGTTTTAGTCCTTTGGCTCATAAATATTTTTTGTCTAAAATAACGTCATGACTTGTGACATAGACTTAAGAAGCATTCTAAAGATGCATATTCATAAGTACAATTTCTTCGTCTGCATGGAGTTGCGAATATCAAAAAAGAATTTCAGAACTGTCCCTGCACATGTTAAAAAAGTTAAATAAAGGTCCTTAGGGATTAAACTGTTCGAGCTTGTTATGGGTTAATAAAAATGTTTTTAACTAAAATGTCCCACTGATACACTGACTAGGACACTATACCCACTATAATTGGAGCGCAACACCGTTTGCTGTGTCAATAAAGAAACATCATCTACAGATATTGACAGTTGTTTTGGATAGCCCGCATTAGAATTATTTTTCATTGCATTCAACTTTTTTATTTGCTGTCAAAAGTACTTTTGGTATTTTGACATAAGAAACAGTTATTTGTATACATCCATCCTTTGTTGTAATATTACATTTTGTATTTGTCCTAATCTAGACTTTGTTTATAAACACTCAATTAAACATCAAATATAAGAGCTAACTCATATTTCTTCCTATCTATCTATCTCTCAATTTTTCGTGAAAATTATTCAAGAAGTTAATGAAGTATGTGATATTTTACTGTTTCTAAAATTTAATACAATAACAGTGTTTATGCATTGTATGCATGTGCATGTGTATATCATTGAAAGTTTCAGCGATAAGTTGATACTAAAACTGTCTTATTATTCGATAAACAGTTTTATTCTTTGTCCAAAGTCTGCTGGCCAATATTTGTTCATATTCAAGAAAGCTATACCAGGCATGAACTTCTGACATCTAAAGCCCTACCCATGTAATGCAGACTCTTCTTCCTACTTGCAACTCCAATCACCAGTGTTGTCTTAAAATCGTTGTAACTTCTCTGAGACTGATATCCCTCGTACTTACAGTATTTTTTTTTTTTTTTTGGAAGAAACAGGCAAAATTTTCTTCCTATTAAGAAATGATTTCCTACGCATCTTCTCAAAGCATGTCTAACTTCATCATAAGAAATATTAAAAGTTGACCACGGTCCTAAAATCAGTTGGTCCCTTTTAAGCAATCTGCTTTCTCATTTCTTTAAATTACATTCCACCATAGGCACTGCTGACAATGGTGGCATCTGACAATATATTTGTCAGTTGTAAATAGTCCCAAAAAAGATTTAAGCTCAAGCCAAAATTATATTGAAATGCAAAACACTTGACTATTCTCCAACATCTATGGGATCCTATATATCTAAATTTAATTTGTATATTTTCTGAAATACTAAGGCGCGATCACCATGAGATACGTTGTACAGTCCATACGATATTTGTTGAAATAGATTTCCAAGAAAAGAACCGCAGAAAAATGCCTTCGTAACAGCAAAACACAGTATGCACTGCAAGTTGCTACGGTAAACGCCACGCAGCCATTGTCTTTCTATCTCGGGTGTCGACTACGGTAAACGCCACGCAGCCATTGTCTTTCTATCTCGGGTGTCGAGTGCGGTTAATTCCAAGAAAGTGACGCAGGGGTCTCCTTGGCATTCTACCTCAACAAATGTCGTACAGACTGTATGTACTTTTTGAAAGCGACAAATAAGTTTTCCATGACAAGATGGGTATTAGAATCTCACTTAATTAGTTAAATTTAGTTTAGGTTTAAGTCATGACGGAGATAAGAAGAATGGGAATGACTGCAACGTAGAGGCGTTGGAGGGAAGTGTAATGGCTCCGATGGTGTCGGCAACTTTCAGCAAATTCTACTGGTCTCAGTGTTCCAAGCGAGAGTTTAGGAAAAACGTTGGGTAAGTACGTACAGAATCAATATTTTTATTAAGTGCGGCGTTATTTATTTTAACTTTTAATCACGGTCTGTTTAAAATTCAAATTAAAATTACGGGATGAAGTATTCAGCGAATGCTAATTAGAATGGTAAAACCAGTAAGCTGAGTTATGAATAAACCATTACTGTACCCATTATATTACAGTTACTGTGGTAAATCAATTATGAATTTGTGTAACAGTTTAATTAAACACGTATTTGGTCAGTAAATGAAGCAAAACCAACAAAAATATAATTTTTCATTTAATTTGCTTGGAAGAGTTGTTAATACTTTAAGAATATATCGGTGGCATGTGTCTGTGTAAGAGATATATGTATGATTAATTGATTGTAATTTATTAAGGTTTCCCAATAAAGCGTTATGCTCAACGAAGATTATAACGTATTGTGACAGAATTTTTTGTTGCCCTTTTTTATTTTGTAATATTGATTCCTCAGAAAAAATGTATACATTATTTATTGTGGAATTAAAATGACATCATTAAATACTGGTGTAATGCAATGATTTGAATACCAATAGGAAAATCCTGTCCACGTTATCGCATTGTTATTTTGGTCTCATTTTGTTGTGATAACGTTGGAAGAAAAGAAAAAATATATAATTTACAATTGTAATTATTAACTTTGTTGGACAGCAAATATCGTGAATTAAGAAACATTACATGAAATTATTTTAAGTGATGTAGATTTATATTTATTCTCCTTATTAATCGATGAGTCAGTTCTTCAAAGAGTTCCGAAAGAGTGCGGTCCGTTCTAGCCTACTGTGCTTCACACTATCTATACAAAAAACAATATTTCCCTTATTTTCCTCGTTTACTAGAAAGACTGAATCTTTGGTCTCCAAGGCCTGTCTTTTGTGTTCTACATAACTAATTTTATGTTAAGAAAATCCAGCTCAAAGAACTTGAGCGAGATTTCTTCATACTCTGCAATGCATTAGTTTTTATTTCGAGAGGAGGCAAATTTCCCTCACAGAGGCATATTAGAGAGTCACAGGAACTTGTGCGATTATTTTTATGGGCAGAATCAGTCTCTAAATTTATTGCAGTATATTTAGTACATAGTACTTACAGAAATTGGCTACCTGAGTTTTTTTATAAGATACTTTATTGATTCAGGTTTTAATTAATTTTGCATCATATCAATTGTTATGTTACCATATCATCTGAACTTCTGAACTCGAAAATGTTTTTTTTTAAAGGATCCAAACAAATGAAAATCTTATGATGTCGACTTCAAAGTTTTAGCGTTTTCGCAAACAATGAACTGATATCAGATAAATCACTAACAGGTTTTCGATTTTTAAAGAAATTGACTTATAGCCCAAACAATCGTGTGCAGACGTAAAATTTTAGATATTAAAATCTATTTAACAGGTTCTATTTGAACATCTTTTAACATAAATTTGATTATTTTCTTAACAACAAGATCAGTCAGTCTACTGATTGGATTAACAGTATCAGTTTCCGAAAAATCCTTGTATTACATCTAATATACAGGGTTTTTCACGTAACCCGTTCATTAAGAGTTTTTAAACTTCCAGTTATAATAGAAACTTGAAATTTTGACAGTTGTCTGGGTCCAATTCATAAAGGAAGATGATTAAAAGCTGTACCAATAAGCTTTTATGCAAAATATGTCTCTAAGTTTGTGCTCAGGTGGGTTATATATGTTACAGTGCATAGAGATAAAAGAGAGGTCATAAACAATTTCTATGAAGGATCTCATAATGGCGTTATTAACTAATTATTGTTTAATAATTTTAAAATAATTCCCCAGAAGTTTCACCAGACATTGCAGCCCTTTTACGTTGAATTGTCAAGACCAAGCACGCAAATGTAACCTCGGAAGCCAGCGGTGTAGTGGGTTGTTATGAAATTGGCGCCTCTATATCTAGGCTAAGATATAGAAATTTATGTATAATTGATGTATGATTAACATGGTTTATTATTTGTGAATAAAAATTATAATTACATTGTAGTTTAAACTTATAAAGAACAAAATTACTCATACACTAAATTTAGCTAATGCCTACAACATAGAAGTAGGTATGTATAAATAAAAAATGCACGTACGTACGCACCCACCTACGCACGCACAAAATGTGTGTGATTATACTTACGTTAACACCTAAGGATTGAGAATAGAACTGAAATTAAAACCAGATTCCATCGGTTTAAGAAATAAAAATTTTAAACCCCACTATTATTAAATAATGTTCTCTCTACTTTTATGGGAACGATTTTAGCATTACTGTGTGTTGGAAAATCCAGTACATTGGTGCCCGCTGTGTTTAAGAGAAAAGTTTTTATTTGGGGGTCCAAAAACAAGGGGATTTCCGCTAGTAAATTCAGTAAATTCAGAATTGGTCGTTATGTAGAAGTGGTCGCTTGACACAGGTAGTCACTGACAGAGGTTTTACTGTATTTCTTTGCGTGTATAAAAGTATATTGTTCTTGATTTAAGAAATCCTTTTTTGCATATACGTCTTATTCTTTCTAGCCGAATGCGTTCTTACTCTTACTCGCGTAGTTTCTGGCTCCAGTACAGACTTCAGCCAAAAACGCAAAATTATTCGTGTCAGTCTATACATATATGTACAACCAGTAGGTTATATCTCACTTAAATTGGTACTATTGGAGAACTATTAAGTTACTAAAATTGGCCAACAAATTTAATTGTCTTCAATTTCTTGAAATATTTATTGAAGCTAGAAAAGTTACCATAGTTTGTATATTACTTACCACCAATTACCTTGGACAGTTTCTTGATTTTATTCTACAAAAATTTAGTAAATCTAAAATTGTTTGTAATGATGCTTTCTTTACTGAACTATAGAGGCATCCTTACTTGATCGTTTTTTAGGTCTTTTAGTTACGAGACGAGTAATAAGAAATGTATATATTGGAAGCTGTAATGTCACAAATAGAAGTGACGGAGCACTTGACACGTCGGATCATTCACATTATTGCTCGACTGTTAAAGGGACAACGTGCGGTAGATATCTTGCTATAACTGCCGCTTAGGATCGCTGTCAAGCTAGAAGGTTACTGAGTTAACGATTTTACCTTCACGCCACACATAACGTGCTCGTTCATAGGCAGATCATTAGACTTCATTCGAGAGAAGCTAATCTCTCTTTAAATCCCGTTTAGTGTCAGTTCTACTTTATAGTAGGAGGAACTGTAGGAAATCGAACACATCCCGTTAATTGATTTCTGGAATACGTCTAGTGAATTTTTACATTACTTTGAAGATATTAAGCTGATTCAAATTTTCTTGAAATCCAAAAATTTTCAAGTCAAATCTCTTTCTTATTGTTTGAAAGTATTAATATGAATTCAATCAAATTGCTAATATACACTTACATAACGTAGTATGAGAATCTGAGTAGAATTTCTGTTGAAAATACTTTTTAATTATTAATTTTATCAATGCACTTCAATTTTGTGTCAGGGACTACAAATATTATTCAATGGAATTGAAAATGCAATTCTTTCAGAATTTACTGAATTCAGCGCAACTTCCTGTATGTTCAGTTGAGTATTTTTCCATCATTAGGAATTTTGCAATAATTATAACTTTCTTGATTAGAATTATAGAGGGTACTTTCCTATAAAAGCTTGTATCTGGAATATTGGTTTTCTATTATTAACATATCTGAAAAGGTCAGATATTGAGGTCCATTTTTTAGACTGAATAATAATTTATTAATGTGATACAGAAACATATCTAATTTCTCAATATTATAATAACAAACTTTATTTTTCACTGTTTAATTGAGTGACATATCTGCAAAAAAAAATAATTAAATAAAATCTTGTATCGAAATCAAGTGTCGTTTTTGTGGAATCACTTTTACCTTAACCTACAATTTTAAAAAACTCTGCTGAAGTTCTTCACCAGCAGAAAATGTTGTCAAAAACAAAAGTCTTTACAAGAGTTTTTTTTAAAAAAATATGCTATAAATCATCATTGCAATATATAATATTTTTGATAAAGAAATTAGTTAATTGAAACTGGTAAATTTTTTTCTTATTTGAATCTGAAATTTTATTTTACTTATATGACGTCACTATATAAGCAATAAACTAGGAAAATCATGATTGTTGGCATTCTGCACCGTTTCTAAGTAGGATTCTATAAATCCAATGATACGCGCTAAGGTCTCTTCGACAACACAGCGCCACAAAAGTAAAAAAGTAGGCAGGCTCGTGGACCAGACCAGTGTATCTCATGGTACTTTGCACACTAAATCCGAATCACAAGTCAATATTCCCGGGTCAATTCATGTTATGACCCCCTTATCAAAACACTCTTTTAGAAAGCGATTTTCGACTTGGTAGTCACATTTTGCATAAACATTCGATTTCTGATCTCATTGAGTTATACCCTATATCCCCGTAGCTTCGTAACTCCATAACCCCATGATCCCTTAACCATTTAACAAGGGAGAATATGGAATTTATCAGGGGTTTGAAACTACACAACTGAGTTGTCAGGCTTCCATAATCCAAAAACGCCGTAACCCCATAGCCCTGGGTATGCAAGGATGTACAACCAGGAATCTTCTTGTATCTACACTGAAAAAACGTAATATAACTTCCTTGCCTGTATAATCAGTGATCAGCAATACAAACTGTCAAACAGTAACAATGTTGTTATTACCTGTCACTGTCACGGCCTACCAGATAACATTATCCATGTATAATTAGGCCTCTCACGGCCTAATTAGTGAGATTTAGTAAAAATACCTATACTTACGCATTTTGCACCGATACGTCAAAATATATTACAACTAAATCTGTAAATCCTTACGTAATTAGAAAAAATGCAGAAATGCCAGAAAGAGATCTAACAATTACAAGATGTCTTATTTTCTTAATAAAAAACCTTTATCGTTTTTTAGTAGTATCTCGCTTATTTTTACCGATGGAACAACCAACAAACCCTATATGTCTTTGCTCGACAGGAAACGTTCTATCCAAATATGTAAAAATATACAGGGTGTTCCATTTCCATTTAAATTAACAAACTTAACATCCGCGGCCATTTTGTTTGGACTTAATTTGTTTTTCTACTATCATTTTCAAAAACTTCGTGCGACTTTTGTATTTAACTTTTTTTATAACTCTAAAAACAAAAAAGTTAATGGGGGGGGTCAAAATATAGTATACCACCCTGTACATTTTCTCCGATCTTGGGGAAAAAATCGAAATTAATTTATACTACATTTCGTATATACCTACTATCTGAAATAATATAAAAGTATTTGTCTTTTTTTTAATTAGTTATATACTTTTTAATTTAACTTCTTTAAAAATCCCCAAGATAAGTAGAACTCTCTGTACTACTAAGAAACTGCTGTATAATTAGAGTAAATTTGTTACTTCGATTACATCAAATATTTAACGCGGTTTAACCTTTCACAGTCAAAACCCAAGAACCAAATTGTTTTGTTTCCAGCAAATGGATTTGTCTACTGAATTCGCCGAGCGGACTGGGAGATATAGTATTAAATGCCACCCTTCAGACCTCCTTCACCATGGACGAACAATGTAGGATGGAGTTCGGCAATGGGTAAATTGCATTTTATTGTACTAATAAATTAACGCTAACGATTTTAGAGCTGAACAACTTTTGTGAATCCCAATGTAACGGTTTGAAGCAAATTAGTTAAATTTGTCGAACTTCATATTTCCGACTAATGTTGAACTGGTTAGTCAGGAGGTGATATTATTAATACATTCTTGTTAAACTTACCTGTCTATCATTTTGTAGTTGTAATAAATGAAATTAGTAAGTTTTGTAACCCATATGCTTATGTGTGTCCTATTTATTCACCCGATTTTAATTAAAATTATATATGGTTTTTTATTACAACCACATTACATTGCAAAGGTTCACAAAATTCAGTCGAGCTTGTTAGTTTTACGATATTCGATTTTTATGTACATCATGGAACTATTCATCAGGTGAGTCTTTGAAAATCCCATTTATTAATTTAGCTTAATGGCTAGTAGTATGTACTTATTAATTCAGATTGAGAGACGCAGAAATGTTTAGTAAAGTGAGTAGTGAACATAATATGATTTACTACAAGTAATATCTGTTTGCGGTACATCATGGGGATCTGTCTGTTTCCTTTCTCAACTCATTAACATTTCGCGATGCAGACATCTAATCATTTTATATTCGGGTAGGTTACCCTGCTATTACTGTAATGTAATACATTTTTATACCATTTAGAAAGGTACACAAGTGGTTCTATACAGGGTGCAACAGCAACGTTGTTACCAATTTTGAGGACGAAACATCCTTTGAATGAAATCAACTTGTGCGTTTAATTTTTCTTATAATCGTTATCTACGTTATCTACATAGACTTGAAGTTTTAAACGCGAATATCCCAAAACACTTCTCTTTAAATGTGTTTTCTGTTACCACAATTGCACAAAAACAATTAATTCAGTTGATTTCAAATTTTGTGTGCTTATTCGTGCGACAAATTTCAGGGGGTGATTCTACATGAGAAAATAATAGCAGTTTGCTTATAAACGTATGTCCGCAAATGATTCGTTTTCCGAAATACGGGGTGTCAAAGTTTTTCTTAAAAACTGACGATTTAATTTATTGCTCTGAAACCGGTCGAGATGTGCAAATGAAATTTGGTGGGTTTTAAGAGGTAGTTATTGCGCATTTTTTGACACGCAATTAAGAATTTTATGTTCATCATTGGCGCGCGTACGGGTAATAATCTCAATTTTTTTAAAGAAAAAAATGGTACGCCACTGAGATATTACAAATTAAAAATCATTTTTGAATTCCTCGTTCAATTTGTGACAAAAAATCTCTCTTGCCTTTTCTTCGTATGGGGCGCCGTTTTGATGCAAAAAAATAAAACATCTTAACGCGTATTTTTTATTTCTTTAATACATTATCAAGAACTATCTAATACAATAACATTAAACCAGAACAATAACAGAAAATAACACTAATAAAATTTTGAAAAGGCGCAAAGCTACAACAAATGTTCAAAATGACCTCCCTCAGACGTGACACAAGATTCAACTCTTCGCCTCATTGATTGTCGTATTCGCGCAAATATTCCTGGTATATTTCTTATTGTCTCACAGCCGACTATAATTCGATTCCTCAGGTCATCAACATTTTCAACGGGAGTGGAATAAACTAATGACTTAAGAAAACCCCAAATGCAAAAATCAAGAGGATTTAAATCCGGCGATCGAGCAGGCCAATGTTCCGTACCTCCCCTACCTATCCAACGATTTGGATATACTGTGTCTAAGTGATTACGTACATTAATGCTAAAATGGGCTGGTGCACCATCATGCATGTACCATAGGTGTTGTCTCAGCTGTAGAGGAATTTCTTCAAGAAGAACAGGTAACTCTTCCTGTAGGAAATTAAGATAAGATTCGCCTGTTAGTCGTTGTGGGAGGAAATATGGACCGATTAAATGATCATCAATTACCCCAAGCCATACATTTACGGAAAACTGATGCTGAAAATGAGCTTCAAAGATTCCATGGGGGTTTTCCTCAGCCCATAAGTGATTGTTATGGAAATTTCGTATACACTGTCGTCCAAAAGTAGCCTCGTCAGTAAACAAAACGGCATTTAAAAAATTAGGAATTTGAGCGATTTGATGATTAATCCATTGGCAAAAAAATAGGCGCGGAAAAAAGTCTCTAGGTAGTAGAGCTTGCACACGTTCAATATGAAACGGATACAATTGCTGTTCTTTAAGAATTTTAAATACAGTGAAGTTGCTTACATTCAATATGTTGGCAATTTTTCGAGTACTTGTTTCAGGTGACTCCGCAATTAACTCGAGAACTGCTTCTTCTAGTTGCACAGTTCGTACTTCTCGAGGGCGCCCACAGTCAACCGTTTGTTTCTTAAATGAACCATTTTCGCGCAAACGTTGATGAAGACGAGCAAATATTGTGTGATGAGGTACCCTACGTCCTGGATACAACTCAGCATACAATCGTCGAGCTTGCCGACCATTTCCATTACTTCGACCATAGACAAAATGCATGTCTGACAATTCCGCATTTGTAAAATTTTCCATTCTTTTCGATAAAAGAAAAATTAATTACTTATTAACACTAATGTTATAGCAAACTAAAAGCTTAATAAATTAATAATGACGAAACGCTAATTTGACATTTCTTAAAAATATTCGTATTTAACAGACAAATGTTGACAGTAGCCTACTAGGTAATGTATTAAAGAAATAAAAAATACGCGTTAAGATGTTTTATTTTTTTGCATCAAAACGGCGCCCCATACGAAGAAAAGGCAAGAGAGATTTTTTGTCACAAATTGAACGAGGAATTCAAAAATGATTTTTAATTTGTAATATCTCAGTGGCGTACCATTTTTTTCTTTAAAAAAATTGAGATTATTACCCGTACGCGCGCCAATGATGAACATAAAATTCTTAATTGCGTGTCAAAAAATGCGCAATAACTACCTCTTAAAACCCACCAAATTTCATTTGCACATCTCGACCGGTTTCAGAGCAATAAATTAAATCGTCAGTTTTTAAGAAAAATTTTGACACCACGTATCTCGGAAAACAAATCATTTGCAGACATACGTTTATAAGCAAACTACCATTATTTTCTCATGTAGAATCACCCCCTGAAATTTGTTGCACTTATTTACTAACACTCTGTATAGTCGGCGGGGCCTAAATGAAGAATTTTTTATTTTGGAATTTTTTTTATTCCCCAAAAACCGAAAAGTGGGCACCTCAAAAAATTAACTCTTAGTTGAAAATTATTGGAACCCTTTTATAGAATATTAACAACTTCGTTCGGTGTCTCCACAATGCCATCTACAATCAACATAATATCAACATAATCTCCTGGGATTCTAATTTCATATTTGCGATTCTATCACCGCAAATGATGTCAAAAAGCAGCCATTGCCCAAGAGTCTTATTTTTTTCAATTTTTAATACATATTTTTTAATTGTTTCAAGTACATATTTCATATATGTATTAATTAAAAGCTGTTCAATGAATATTTATTAAATCGGCCAAAAATTTCATCAAAATCAATCACAATATTTCCGATTCCAGCTAGGAATGACCCAAGTCTATCATTGAAGGAATCGATTTAGGAAAAAATACAGTCTAATTGGTGCTATTTTTTATATTAATGGAACAAGCCACTCCTTAAAGTTTATTGAAGCATCATTGATACACCAAATGTCATTATCATTAAAATTTTGAAAACAGTTTTCAGTAGTATATTAATATTTCTTTTTTTAGGTATACAATGTGTCGGGCATTTGAAATTGTGGATCCATGTTCGCATTTATGGTGTGGTCATGAAAGGGCACCTCTAGTTTGCAAAACTAAAAAAGGTCCCCCATTGGAAGGTACCGAATGTGGATTTAGTAAGGTTCGTACTTGCTTTCAATATTTTTGCATCATAAAAGTTGTGTTATAATCAATTTTTTACATGTGATTCATCCAAATGTATTAAAAATTTATAAATACACTTCTACTATTATGCTATATTTTTACTAGGATTAATAAGAAATGCTAGAAACAATTATACTTTTATAAAATTTACTGGACAAACACAGCACTACTACAGCTTTGGCATTCTATATAATTTTTTTCTTTAACCTTAAAAAACATGGAATATTTGATAAATATTTAGGATAATTTAATTTCATACACAGTGTTTCTTTTAATAATTTGTATATTTTACATATGATTAAAAGGGCATGGTTAATATGATGTAAATAATGGCATTGTAGCCAGTTTCCTATTTATTCAGATCTAACGAAAAACTGTGTGTTTTACATTGCAACATCCTGTATTTTACTAAATTGAATAGAACTTTATAGTGATAAAAGTTTAAATGGGCTTGTCTGCTATAATGAAGAGGATGCATCCAAAAGCATGTGTAAAAGGTTTTATGTAGCAAATAATAAAGGGTGTCCCAAAATTCATACAAGAAGTAATTCAGATAGAAAACACAGGTTTTTAATTAAAAATTTTATTTTTTTTATTGATCCATAAAGTATACAGTACAGGGTTATGTATGGAATAACATATCGGGTAAATAACCTCCACGGCTTTTCTGGCACATACGCACCCTTTTATCGAAGTTTTTCATGACTGTTTTGCATAAATTCGGCTGAATTTTGTTTCTTTCAAAGCGTGGGTGGTCGTGGGCTTGAGGGCAAAAACCTTAGAATTCAAAAAAACACAAAGAAAAAGTCCAACGGCGTTAAATCGCATGATCTAAACGACCAATTCGATCACCAAAACAGGAAATTACACGACCAGGAAATGACTCATGCAGTAATTGAATTGTTTCTGGGCTGTATGACATGTGGCACCGTCTTGCTGAAACCACATATCGTCTGCATCCATATTTTGCAATTCAGGCACAAAAAACTAGGCCATTTACTGTTACTGCCTGACCAGTCGCGATTTCAAATAAGAATGGTCTGGCGATGCCTTCAGCCCAAAACCCGCACCAAACAGTAACACGTTGTGGATGCACGTATTTCTCAATAATCACTCGTGGATTTTCTTAACCCAAAATGCGACAATTTTGTCGATTAACGAAGCCATCAAGATGAAAATGAGCCTCATCGCTGAAAATGATTTTGTTTAAAAACCAGCATCCACTTCTGTTCCATAATCTATTCAATGAACTCTCTTCGCTTTGCGTGGTCAGTACGTTCTTGAGTCAATTGAAGTTTGTATGAAGTATGAAGATGCAAATCTTTCATGAGAATACAGCTTCTCGAATTGTCAAATTCTTGACCACGGTGCCAAATTGACGTTCCTGGACTTACAGCAACACTCACGAATTGCGTCGATGTTTTGTGCAGAACGACATGTTGAAGGTCAGCCACAGTGTTTAAGATTACTAATTGATCCAGTTTCCCTAAATTTCAAATAATCTGTTCACAGTTGATGAAGTTAAATCAATATTCCGACCATATTTTGTACGAAAATTGCCAACTGTAGCTGCCAAACCTTCATTACAATATTGCACAACAATGAAAACGCGTTGTTATTTCGTGTAGCGCTCCATTTTTGATAACCCTAAACTCTAAGCTGTCACGCTGCCTTTTTCTTTCGTTGGCAATACTTTATCTCACAAATGGCAGCAAATTCAAATAATTCCTGAATTTTGGGACACCCAAACATTTTACCTATGACAAACTCTTTTGGTCATATTTTCTACTATCAGAGATGTTTCAAATCTTAAACCGCTGTAATAGTAAGGAAGAGTTAACCTGTTTATTATATCTGACAAAAGTGGCAAACAGTTACTTTCATCAGGTATGTTCTGTTGTCCCGGATGTTGTTTGACCTTGATCAGACAGTACACTCTATAATATATGTGGAGCACCCCGCATATATTTTTTTAATAAATAAATTTTCGGGTTGCTTAACTTTACATAAACAGGTTTACTTAAAATATTTCGGAAAATCATTATACATGCCTATGCATACACTAAACTTACATACCCACATTAATAATCATTTTTATGGTGTTTTTATTTTTCGATATAAACTTGTAGCATAGGAGTATATGAAAAATTAGGTTGTTAGTATATTTTACTACAATAATTATTTTACCAACCAGAAAGTTTTATATTGGATTTAGTACAGCGATTTATTATTACATAAATTTCACCTGCGGCTATAAAAATTTGTATGGAAAACATTTAACTGCACATAATAACCTACAGTGACTAAAAAGCGTACGATGTATCTGAAAATAAATAATTTTTAGAGTAAAATAAATAAAAAAAGTTATGTTTTACAAATTTATTTGCAGGTTTCTTTGTTGCTCTTTTGTTTTAATAAAATATAAACAGTTCAGAAATATACCATGGATTCATTAGTAATTTTCTACATAATTTAAGATAATTGAAAAGAAATTCTGATTGGGGAAAATTAAGTTTCAGTTTATATATATATATTTCTGACATCTGAAGATTCTTTGGAGGTTAAGAATATTTACAAAATCATCAAAAAATAAAATTCTCAGAACTATTTAAGCGTGTGTGGTATTCGATAAGAAAGAAAATTTCACACCAAATTGAAGATAAAATACAAAATTAAATTAATAATCTGAAATCGGCCGACTGGAATCAAAACTATAACGAAGTCTATGCTAGGAATGTTGGTTTCTTACTGCTGTCACATTGACTTAACTGTCTAGTCGACAAGTCCTTCGGTCGAATCTGTGCTCAAATCATTTTAATTTTTCGTTTCGGTAAGCAAGATCAAATAAAAAAATTAATCTTAAATATTTAATAACCAAGAATACCAAACAATCTAAAGTATGTAAGTGTATCAAAACAGTTTATTGAATTTTGCAATGGAAGATTTTATAAACAGACATCAACTTAAATGGAAAAAACATCCTACATGAAGAAAAGTTTCTCATTTTTTTGTTGTTGCTGCAACGTTTTAAAATAATATCATTTGTTCGGCTGCGAAATAGAAGTATGGAATTAAAAAAAAAAATCTTTGACAATTGTTGAAGCTTCGACAACTCAAAACTTGATTTTGACTACTATAGCAATTATCTAAAGTTTGAATATGATGATCATTTGTATGAATTTACCTGCGTTCCATTTGGCCTCTCTGTGGCACCACTTTGCTTTACAAAATTAATCAAGCCGATTGTTTCTCACCTGCGTAAAAAGGGCGTATTATGTGTTAATTATTTGGACTATTTTCTAATCTTTGGCAAATCTTACAAACAATGTTTGGAAAATACTAAGATATTAACCAACCTGTTCAATAGGTTTTGTAGTAAATTACAGCAAAAGTTGTTTAGATCCGAGCACATCACAAAAGTTTTTAGGTTTTATACCCGACAAATGTGAAATGAAAATAAAACTCCAACAGAAAAGGAGGAAAATATTAAAAGAAATTTGTAAAGTTCATCGGCGTCTTAGTGTCAGTTTGTACAGCTGTCACTTATGGCCTTCTTCAAATCATTGAATGATTAAATGAGCTATATTCAAAATGATAGATAGGATGATATAAAAGTTCTGTTGCATGGTTTCCTAGTTCTCCAAATTTGAACCAATTGGATATATTATTTAAGGAATTCATATATTTTTTAAATTTTGTTAGTTGTTTTATTTAAAGCATTAAAACGGTTTAATTTACTTAAGCACCTTTGTCGTTATTGGTTGCAATTGGCGGAAATATCTCCTCCCATATTGTGATACTTACCTTTCAATTCCACAAAGTATTAAAATATAATTAAAATATTAATATATAATTATTTTTGATCATCAAAACAAACCTATCCTTTATACCAAAGATAAAGTATGTAGCGTTAATTATTATCTAATTGTCTAATGATAAATATATTTGCCTGTAATATGTTTCATGCAACAGATATAATTTGTAAAACACGCTTCGCTGGTGAATCATAAATTAATTAGTCCTTCTATACACTCGAGGCTCCATTGTTACCTGTAAAATCCCATTATTGTTTTAAAATAATTATTTTTTCTTTTCGACGTATTCCGCGGAACACCGCTGCTTTGTTTTTAATCTCGGATCGGGTAATGCCGAGGTTTTCTCCCAAGTGGAAAAGTAATTATTGATGATTGCTTTGCAGTGGTGCGTAAACGGTTACTGTGAGGAAGTGGGAAACAGACGATTGGACAGAGTGCCCGTGGTGCTGAATCCACAAGATGGAGGCTGGGGCGACTGGACTCCCTGGGGACCATGCTCAAGGACCTGTGGGATAGGAGTTCAGTTTAAATCCAGAAAATGTAACAATCCACCGTAAGGAATCCAATTATGTCTATGGAATACGTTTTGACCGCTAAATAAATTCGATTGCAGCGAAAAAATCCAATACAATGAAAATAGTATAGCTGTTAGAAAAATATTTTTCTCAGAGCTCTTAAAAACAAGGATAAGCTACTTGCATCCATTAAAGCCATATTCAGCTTTCAGTTGCTATAGTTGCTGTTATACAGGGCCTTTCAGAAAGACCTCCCGTAAATACAGGGGGCAATAGTACGACAAAAAATAATAATTTTTTGTCTCTGCATCTCCCCTTGTTTTCGAGATACAGAGTGACAAAATAAAATTTTTTGAATTGAATTTTTACGAAAATTTTCGAACGGTGCGAAATATTTTTATGAAATTTGGTATTCCGGGATTTTTAAGGATGCCAAATACGCTGGTCTAATTATTTGTTGTATATTTCATAGAGGGCGTTAGTTATGCTACATTCCTATTACATTTTAAGTTCTAATTTTTTTAAGGTTAGGTTTTTGACAATTCGGACTCCAATTTCTAATGTACAATTTTATTTTCTAAAAATAATGTACTCTTGTTAGAACTTCCTAATGTGGACGGTTTTCGAGAAAAAATGCTTTTAATTGAAGTTTTACAATATTACGGTGTATAAATGAATTCACTTTTCGCAAAATATTTTAAACTCTAATTAAATTGATGGATGTCTCATAAACAACGTACACATTCTTAGTAATATTTTAGTGATTGTTAGTGGCTGTAGTTAGTAATGACTAATTACAGTCATTAAAATTGAGATATAAAATTAATTAGAGTTTAAAATATTTTGCGAAAAGTGAATTCATTTATACACCGTAATATTGTAAAACTTCAATTAAAAGCATTTTTTCTCGAAAACCGTCCACATTAGGAAGTTCTAACAAGAGTACATTATTTTTAGAAAATAAAATTGTACATTAGAAATTGGAGTCCGAATTGTCAAAAACCTAACCTTAAAAAAATTAGAACTTAAAATGTAATAGGAATGTAGCGTAACTAGCGCCCTATATGAAATATACAATAATTAGACCAGCGTATTTGGCATCCTGAAAAACCCCGGAATACCAAATTTCATAAAAATATTTCGCACCGTTTGGAAATTTTCGTAAAAATTCTATTTAAAATTTTGTCGCTCTGTATCTTGAAAACAAGAGGAGATAGACATAATGGTTCATAAAACAAAAATTTTTTATTTTTTGTTATACTATCACCCTCTGTATTTACGGGAGGTTTTTCTGAAACACCCTGTATATACTATTCAATTTGGATATTAATAATATTTAGTTCTTTCTTGAGAATTGAATATCAAAATTATTTTATTGACATTAAGTTTTTAGAAAATAAATAGCACTATAGTATGTTTCATTACATTATAACAAGTAAAATGTATTTTTTATTATTAATTTTGAGACAAACACGGTAGTATTATCCTGATTATCAAGGCTACTGAACTTTTATCATATACCATGCGTAGGTATGTAAAGTAAGGAATAAAATTATCTAAATTTATGTTTATAATTATAATTAGGTATATAATTGCTGGAAAAAAATGCTTAGACATGATTTTTATTCTTAAAAACCGATTTTTTAAGATACGTCGGATTTCTGTATCTCAACCAGCAACGAAGCAAAAATTTCAATAGTAGTAGCTATATTTATGTTTTATTTTTTGAAAGGTGTTTTTATACTTTATTTCTATTTTTCATAGTTCATCGAAACTGACGAATGTCAAAATAGACATAATTGATTTAATCATTTCATTTAATGATCATTTAATGATCTCATAAACTTCTTACTAAAAGGCCGGAATAATTTCTGTCCTAAACTACAATTTAATTCTTCTTCGTTCTTTCTACGTTCAGCTATACCTACTTACCATTATCCTATCTTTATCTTCTAACCCAGCAACACATGTTACTCATTATGTTCTAAATGAATTTAAGTAAATAATTTTTCATCGATATTTGACGATTTTGTCGACTTGCACATATTGTAAAAATTCCTCGAATCCGCAGTTTTTATTGCATTTCTTGACTTTTGATATACCGATATGAAAATTAGGTTTACGGTTTTGTAAAGGATGAGAAGGCCGTTATTTAAATACTGTATTTAATCTTTTTTAGAATGCCAATTTTTCTTTAGGTATTTGATAAAACTCACTTAAATAAAAAAGACGTGATGATATGTGAGTGATTTTACATAATTTAAAAAATCATAATCTTTTTATTTCATGATAATTTATAGTTTATTTTGTTTATTTTACAATAAATACGAAACCATCTTTCATAGTACTACGGTGTAATTTGGTCGTAATCCATTGATTGTTAAATAAGCGTCGTTCAAATAGATGGATAGGATACAAAGGTGCTATTGCATGGCCTTGTTGTTCTCCAGATTTGTACCCATATGATTTTCTGGGGTTATTTTGGGAATATACGAGGTCTCTTCAGAAAAAACCGAACGTAATTTTTTTGAAATTTATTATTAGTTTTATTCATTGTTTTGTTTTCTTCAAAGTACTCCCTCACCCATTCACACTTTTCCCAGAGGTGCGGTGTTCCATTTCGCGAAGCAGTCCTGGATAGTTTAATTTGAAAAATCCATGACGAATTTCCTTTAATGTCAGAATTAATCTGAAAACGGCGTCATTTCAGCACTGATTTTAATTTTGAAAATCAGAAAAAATTGCAAGTAGACAGGTCTGGCGAGTAAAGAGGGTGAGGAAGGATAGTAATCTAATTTTTGGCACAAAACTGACGAATTGACAAAGCTGAATGTGCGAACGCATTGTGCGCACAATTTCATTAAAGTAGAACAAAAAAAAACAGTGAGCATTACTTTGACATTGGATCAAAACTGGCGAACTTTCTTGGGGCGTGGAATTCCTTTGTCAATCCATTGTGATGATTGAACATTTGTTTCAATGTCGTAGCTGTAAACCTAGTTTTGTCTCCCGTTATGATCCCTTGAATGAATAATTCACCGTCATTGGATTATTCAGGGAGTTGGCGATAAAGGTCCACACGATTTTCTTACTGTTGTTCGGTCATCAAACGAGGAAAAAATTTTGCTGCAACTCGATGCATGTTCAATTTTTCATGGCATGACCCAATTGAGACGCAACCTCCTCTCCAATTTCGTTGACAGTTAATCGGCGATTTGCACGTACCATATAACGAGCGTTCAAATAAAAACGTGGTCGAAGTTGGCTCTGACACATTGGACGTAGGGAGTAGCTTATAGCGACCAACTTAACCTCATTTCTCAAGGAGCTGTATAGCAGCTGTCAGTTTCAATAACGTTAATGACTATATAACTTTATTTTAAAGAATAATCGTGATAACAATAACAAACAATTAAAGGAGCTGCGGAAAGTGTCCCCCTCCTTGTTATAACAATAAATTAAAGCAGCTGCTGAAAGTGTCCCCCTCCTTGTTCCAAGCACTTTTCACACCTGTTCCTCAAAGAATTAAAGACATTTTCTAAGATGCTCGGGGTATTGTTAATTTCACGAATCTTGTCTATAAGTCGAGCCTGCAGATGGTTTAAATCAGGAATAGGCAGTTCAAAAATAGTGTTTTTAAGGTAAGGCCACAAAGAGAAATCCTCGGTGGAAATTCATGTTCAGCATTGAGACTTATTAGTCGATTTTGGAAAACTTCCCTCAACATATTCACATCGTCTCGCCTGCCGTATGTGCCCTTGCGCCATCTTGTTGAAAGTAAAAGTTTGTAATTTCGTTTTCTTCCAGCTGGTTAACAAAAGGAGCGATAATTTCTTCTCTATACCTTTGCGCAGTAAGAGTACCATTAAAAAAATAGGTCCATAAATCCTCCTTCGATTGAGAGCCCACCAAACTCTTTTTTGAGCGTGTAGAGGGCCCTCGACAAAAAAGTTATCTGGTTTTTCAGAAGACCACATTCTCATATTCTGTGAGTTTACGTAACCACTTAAATGAAACCAGGCTTCATCAGAAAAAAAGGTGATATTATGAAGTTCACCGTAGTTGTTTAAAAACCATTCACAAAATACAGCCCGTCGCTGAAAATCAACTTCATGAAGTTCTTGCTGACAAGTTAAACGATAGGAGAACAAACGCAAATCTTTTTTTTAACACTGTGTGGCAGGTACCGACTGATACTCCCACCATTTGTGATAAAACACGTACAGAAGTTCTTGGCGCATTTTCCATTATTTGTTGGACATTTTCTTTTAATTCTTCAGTCCGCTTTTTAGGTCGGCCGCTTCCTTCTTTTCTTGTTACACTGCCCGTTTCACGAAAAACATTAACACAACGCTGAACTGCACTTTGAAAAATTTTTTACTCAACAACGCCGGGAAATTGATTTTGAAATTCTATGAAACATTCCTCAATAGAATACTTCCATATTCCATCAATCTTGCGTCCATTTCTAAAGTAGGACTCTATGATAAACACTTTTTGTTCTTGAGAAAACACCATTTTAAACGCTTTTTAAAACGAAAATATTCAAATTGATAGCGGCGATATAGCGCTTTGACAGATGACGTTTAAGTTCATTTGCTATACGCTACGCCCTACGTCCAAATTTTCAGAACCAACTTGACCACGTTTTTATTTGAACGCTCGTTATTTGACTTTCTGAACGTGGGAGTCATCAGTTGAAGTCGAAGACCTTCGTGGTCTAGGATCATCTGACGATCGACAATCAACTGACGACGAAAATCATTCTTAACATTGCGTACGATCCAGAGCATCATCTCCGTAAGTTTGTTTCAAAAGTTGAAACGTTTCCGTTAAAGTTTTTCCGCAAAATTTGACGTTGCATCCTTATTCGAGAAAATCACATATTTTATAAATTGTCACTAACACTTAAACACGTTAGACTCAAATAGCAATAGCACGAAAATTCAAAAACATGTGGTTATAGAGGAGGTTATGAGCAACGCAATGCCGCCAACCATATTTCACCAAATATCTCCACTAGAGTTAAAAAGTTCGGCTATTTTCTGACCAAACCTGGTATAATTTTTTTAAATTGTAGTTAGTTATTGAAGTAATAGTTTATTTTATCTATCCTATACTCCTAATACCATTCTGTAATAAATTACACAAAAATATTTCTATAACTACAATGTTTGGTGTACTATAGCTACTTGTCATTATTATTTTTAGTCATATAAATAAAAAAGGCAATGTTTATCAGCTTTTGCTTAAAATTACAGTGCTAAACAGTCCAACAAATAAATTGCTATAAATTACCCTGAATATCGATTTCAGAAATCGGCTAGTAACGTACGAAAAATCAAACTCGTTGAAATAATCAACTTCATTCTTAGAAACAATACGCAAGCACATGCAATACATACATATATGATTTATTTGTTTTTATTTGTTAAATTTCTTACGGAATGATAAAGCAGGAGCAGGGTAAACACAAACCATTTATTTCATTTATTTGATTTATTATTTATGTTTTTATATTTGTGAAAACATTTCTAACAAAAAATCACCATAAACAGTTATTTTCGATTTACTAAACTATGTGACACCTCTTCTTAAAATTAATGAAATGAAATCTCTAAAATGAGTTATTTTACAAAAAAATGGAACAGAAATACCATTAGTGGTAATGACCACCGTATATCTACCTCTGGTTAACGCACTTGTAAGTCAACTTAGTGAATTTTTACTATCAATTTGATAAACCAGACACCAAGTTTCATTCATCTATGCCACAAATCATCAGATATATTTCTATATGTCGAAAACGAAGCATTCATATGGAACTTATTGATTAAATTTTGTTCTGAAACCTAGTGAGGTTTCCCGATTAAAATCTCGACTACCCTCTATTTTAAGCTACCTATTTGCTCGCCTTTATTGACCGTTTTATTTCTTGAAAATACCAGATACTATTTATGGTCTAAAATAGAAAATAATTGATCACATAGTTTAAAAGAAGCGTTGTAAATTTCAAGCTGCATGACCTGTTTTCATTGTAACTTTTATAATTTTTTAAATTATAAATTTGAACTTTACTTTTTCCTTCAATTTTTAACGTGCCCCAGAATAAAGAGCTTTAGGTTCGTTACAATGTTTTTGGATCCGTTTTCTCTTTGTAGCTCGAGCAACGCAAGCTTCCTGAAATTAGTTAGAGTTTTAGCATTCCTACTTCCTGGATTTTCTTTACGTCGCATTCCAATTTATTTTCATGTATACCTCATCCGACCAGAAAATTTCTGTGGAAAAAAAAGACACAGTTAATATTACGACGTTATTTTTATATTAGTTCTATAATGGAAAATAGGAAAAATATTATTATATTATTTGCTTATACAATGTCTGTTTTGACGAACCTATTTTAGTATATTCTCATGTATAGGATAGGCAAATTTGAGAAGAAGAGTTGGTCGAATTTTCTAAAAAGATAGGTAAACAGTAGATAGATATCTTGGATTTGATTATTATCGGCAGAAATTTAATATTGGGAACTATATCCCATTACAGATCTGTTTTTTATGTGTTCAGGTCATTTATTGTTGCCATCCCCAACAATTTTTTTACGTGTGAAAATTTTATATGTATTTCTTTCATATAGTTTTTTAATCAATTTCCTGAAAATTCAGTGATAACAAAATTTCCAAAAACTCGTTTGCGAAATATTATTATTTTTCAATATGCTAGATTCTGCTGGTTGTTCTGAATAGTAGTCATTTAGAAAAATTTATTTTGTCTCAGTTTCCCAGAAAATGTGGAAAAAAACAAAATTTGCTACCGACCCTTTTCTCCCTTCAAAGAACTTAATTTTATTGTATGTACTGGATATAGTCGTTCTAAACATGGTGCCCTTAATAATATTTGTGCTGTGCTGAATTGTGCTACACTGTGCCATTGAAAAACATCTTATATGTCGTAGTTTCCCGAAAAATGCAGAAAAACTAAAATTTTCTGGTCTCCCACTTCACCACTTTCTCCCACTGCAAAAAATTATTATTATTTCGATGTGCTACTATAAAAAAGCATTCTCAGCATTGTACCGTTTCGAATCTTTCTGTTCGTATCTATTTGCACAGAAAATTTATTTCTGGGAAACAGTAAAGGACTTTTGTGAAAGTTATGTTAGCTGTAGAAAAATAATGTTGAGTTCATTATCACAATATAAAAAAACCGTAGATTTTTGAAATCATTGTCACATAGTAGGCATAGAGGTGGCACTGTTTCAAAAATCCCACCTTTAGGTTAGGTTTTATATAACAATCTTTCAGAGCTTTAACATTTCGGTGCGAATTAATATACTTAGGAAGAAATTGGGCAATTCCATTGAGGATGCAGCTGTCAAAAGAAATAAACAAACACTAAGAATAATAACAGACCAAACAATACCCGTCATAAAAACCCAACTGAAGCAGGATGTGGACCTTCAACAAAAAATTACTGATATTGTGAAATAAACACCAACAACACTCAGATTTGATGTTAAATTTTATTTCAATTTCTTTCAATTTCATTCATTTAAATCCAGTATATTATAGATTTCGCTGTTATTACTGGCCGTTGTTGGCAATACCTTTGCGCCATAAAGTAAAACTACATAATGAACTATTTACTTAAGGATCATTCTGTCAATCCAATTTTAGTTACTCATTTTAATATTATTACGTTAAAGAATTTCGATAAACATGACAAACAAAAAAGTAGTTATGCTTTTCATTCTGTTTATTTTGTGAGTATTTTATATTTATTTAAATATAGAATTCAGTTTTAAAAACGATCCTATTTGTATTCACGTAGGTCACATCTACGAGTAATATGCTTTGAAAAACAACTGAAAACCCAGTTTATTTAAATACATAATAGAAATTTTCTACGTTAAAAACAATAAATGCCTGAAGGTTGAACAAAAAATAATAATACACTTTTCGAGATCTCTGAAGAAAAACAACTTCCATAAGCTCACATTTAAAGGGCTTGGGATGTATTTCTCCGGCTTGTTTATATAACTTTTATTTCGAGTCGTAGGGAATAATAAAGCTATTCTACTTGATAGAGATGTTAAACTGTATAAAATATTAGCCTTATCAAGTTGATCCCTATTACACATTCACAGAATTCGTATACTGAAATGGTAATATGGTTCTGAAATGTTTTTAGACCAACCTACGGCGGAAAAAATTGTATTGGCGACTCGGAAATATTTCAGATTTGTAATGAATTTGAATGCCCGCAACCACCGGTAGATATGAGAGCACAACAATGTAAGCAGTTACCCAAACTTTTTAATTTGGAAGGGACAAATGAAGGCAATTACACTTGGCTCCCATATGAAAGTGACGAATGTACGTATATTATACAAAACTGCCTTCCACTCTTTTACATGTTATTATAATTATTTTTTTTTTTCAGTTGACAAAAAATGTAAATTTATTTGTATTAGCGCAGAAAGAAAGGAATTATTTGTCACAGACGAAAATTTAATAGATGGGACTCCCTGCTCGTATGAAGATCCTGACAATATTTGCGTCCAGGTAAATTTACTTTTGTTGTAGTTTTTGATATATTTTAATATAACTTTTAAATTAGTTTAATCATATTGCCATATATAAACAATTTTCATTATTAAAACTTTAAAATTATCGCTTGTAAGCAAATCAAGTGTGACAATTTATATTTATTTTATTTGTTTATTTATGTTCTAATTATATCATAATATATTATTTATTTTGCCCTTCAATACTCAACAGCATAATTACATTGTCTGGAAATTTTAATTGGCTGTAATGTTTTTTTAAAAGTTTCGTATTCAACAGCGTTTTCGACATACTTGCACTTTTACACTCAGTGTATACTGAGAATAGTTCAATCCTCTATTATTCAAGTTGATAGTACAGAATGAAGATATAGTGCGCCCTGAGTGGAAAAGTGCAAATAAATCGAAAACACTGTAAATGAGAAGGTAGGCCCACAAAAAATCATTCCTGTAGAATCAGATCTAGTTGAGAATAAAATCAATTATGAAGACCAGTAAACTTCATCCACGGTAGAAGACTTAATTTACTTTAAAAAAAATGTATATTTGTTGCATGTCATTAAAATGCATTGTTCCTCAGAGAAATAGATATCAATTTTTTACTAGTCATCAATTATGAGCAGCCGAGAATTCGAGAATATTCTTGTAAAATTAAATTTTACTCTTTTGTTAAATTTACAAGTACCTACAGTAAATATTTTTTAAGATTCGAACATACCGTTATTAAAAAGTTAATCTGTACGAAATATACGTTTTTGAATATAGTACCGCAAAGTTAAATTCACTGGACCATATTCCATTGATTATGATACACTCAAAAATTCGGCTGTCAGTAACTGGCGATTGAAATCCATTGTTCCTGGTACGGTGTATTTTAGCGAAGCGCTTTTCCAAGTACCTACACGTTTTTTATTATTTTGTTAAATTTAAAAATATATCTACATTTTCTGAAAATATATACTTACCAAGAAAAAAAGTTTAAAAAATATAAGTTCATAATTATCAAATGTCATTAAAATGTATTAAAAAGTAATGAAGTTACATATCTTAAAAAAATTAAATAATTATTATTATTTTGAAGGTGGATATCTTTTTAAAGAAGAATCACAATCACACAATCTTTACTAGACTCCTTGTATAATACATAAAATTGTGTTTCACCCAACTATCAATACTTTGTTATTCCATAAACCTAAATATAAATAAAAAATAACCCCAAATTTGTAAGTACTAAATGTTGCTACAACTGATTTAGAAATTATTACAAAACAATTTGGACATAAGTAATTTCCAATGTAGGTAGTCAGAATAGACTAGACCTTCACCTTAATTTTTTAAATTAATTTCGACCAGGAAAGAAATTTGGAAATCGATTGGAAATACGCCTTATTATTTAATACATAAATATGGGTCAAAATACATTATTTCTTAAATTTTGTTCAAATAGTTGGTAGTATTTTCAGGCGCTGAACACGCCATTAGTAAAATTTAGTCATGACCTCTATATTTCTCATCTCAAAAAAAACACTATTTGGGTGAAAACTAGCCCAAATATGGGTCAAAACTGATTTTTTTCATCAATATTGGATTTTCTGAGAGATATCGAGGTTAGGGGTAAATTTTACTAGGTAATGGCATCGTATTCAGAGCCTCAAAATACTACGAAGATATATTTGGAAAAAATCAATTTTGACCCATATTTGGGCGACACCCAAAAAATGTCAGTTTTCTAAGAAATTCATCAGCAAGTCATGAATTTTGACTACTGGATTCTGTTCAGCGCATTGAACTGCTTGGATAATAATATGTGGGTCTCTTAGGTTTGGACTTTAGTCGAGACTTTCTTTGCCCTTTGGCCAATTTGAAAACGTATGCCCTCATATTACACATAAATCGATTCTAAGTGCTAGAATATCTTCGATTAATCCTGTTTTTCTCGAAAACGGCAAGGTTTATCGAAGTTCAGAGAAATCAAGAATAGTTTTAGAATCGAATTTTGTACCTTATAATATGAGTGAATTTAAATCAAATCTTGAAAATAAGTTTGACTTTAGAAAATTTATTTTAAAAGTGCCCGTTTTTATCCTGAACAAGATTTTCCATGAGATAAAATTGTTGAGTTTTTCTTCACAAAAAAAGCGTCAAAAATGTTTATGTATGAATTAAACTAATATACTTTTAGTTGTTCCTTCTCGGCCGTTTCTCGAATGTTAATGCATTAAAAAGTCTAGTATCTTCTTATTTAACTTTAAATTTTCACATCTTTACATTTGTTTAGTTTATATATATTTTTTGTTATTCTACTTTTATAACTTTCTATTCTTTCTTGTATTTTAATATCGTAATATCAATACTATGTTGTTTGTATGGTTAACTTTTAATCTGTTACCGGTAACTTTTAATGTGTTGTCGGCAATGTGGTACCATGAACTTATTTCCT